GTCTCTGCTCAGGTGGCACTTCATCAGATGCCTTCCCTGGCAGTGTCTAGGCTGGCACTACCATTCCTCACCCTGCCTGTCATTTTCATCACTTGACATTTATTTCCTTGCCTTTTGGGGGTTTTAGGTCATTTTTTTCTCCTACTAGAATGTAAACTCCATGGAGCAAGAGCTTTGTTTTGTTGTTGTTGTTGTTTGTCTTTTCTTTTTGAGACAGAGTCTCACTTAGTCTGGGTAGAGTGCTGTGGCATCGTAGCTCACAACAACCAAAATCTCTTGAGCTCATACAGCCCTCTTGCCTCAGCCTCCCAAGTAGGTGGTACTACAAGTACCGGCTGCAACACCTGGCTGTTTTTAGAGATGTGGTCTCGCTTTTGCTCAGGCTGATCTCAGCTCCTGAGCTCAAAAGATCCACCCACCTCTGCCTCCCGGAGTGCTGGGATTATAGGCATGAGCCACCATGCTGGGCCAACTTTATTTTTATTACTCTGAGTTTGACACACATTAGGTGCTCAAAAGATGTGTGTTAGATGAATGAAAAATATAACAGGAGGAATTGGTCTAGTGGAAAAATTCACTGAGGACTAGATGATTGTACTGAGATCTGAAGGAAAAGTAGAAGTTGAGGAAAGAGGAGAGGATGAGGCCAGAATGCAAACCCGTGAGTGAAAGGCCATGCAGCAGTCCTTGTCATATCCCCGGTGCCTGTTTCTATGCATTCAGTACAAGTCTCTCGAATGAATGGAAAAATGTCTGAAGTAGAAAGGACACTATGTGCAGAGGCCACGTGGGTGAGGGAGCCTATTTATTTCCAGGAAAGGAAGGAGCCAGTGCAACTGAAGTGCTGAGAGCAAGGGGCAGTCTCGTATCCTCATGGGACTTGGCCAGGTAGGCAGGGCCAGATCTGAGGACTGATTTTGAACTGAGGAGAACAAATGGTCAACTCATTTTTTGTTGTTGTTTTTAAAGACATGGTCTCACTCTGATTCGGGGGCTAGAGTACAGTGGCATCATCATATAGTTCACTGAAACCTTAAACTCTTGGGCTTAAGAGATCCTTCTGCCTTAGCCTCCTGAGTAGCTGGGACTATGGGCAAGTGCTACCACCCTCGGCTAATTTTACTGTTTTTCACAGAGACCAGGTCTTGCTGTGTTGCTCAAGCTGATCTTGAACTCCTAACCTCTAGTGATCCTCCTGCCTCGACCTCCCCAAATGCTAGGATTACAGGCAGGCACCACTGTGCTCAGCTTCCTCACAGTCCACATTGCATTTCCTTGTAAACTTGAAGTGCCTCATTCGCCATGAAATAAAAGTACAGTTTTGGTTTCTGTAGCTGAAAATACAATGGCATTTAGGGCTAAGTCAAGCTGTTCAGGGTTGACATGACCTGTATCTGTGATCTAATAGAAAATCAAATCTGCCAGGCTGCAGCATTAGTGGGTGTCCTTGCCTTATGACCATTTTAGTTCTAAGACGTATGTTAGTAGTATTTGGCAGCATTTAGCCCTTTTACTGTTAATTCTGGTTTACATATGAGAGCTTTTGTCTTGGTAACTTTTAGACCTTCTATAAATCTTTTGAATTTTAATTTTTCTGTTAAGGTTAGTAGGCCATATTATTTTATTTATTTATTTATTTTGAGACAGAGTCTCAAGCTGTCATCCTGGGTAGAGTGCTGTGGCATCACAGCTCACAGCAACCTCCAACTCTTGGGCTTAAGCAATTCTCTTGCCTCAGCCTCCCAAATAGCTGGGACTACAGGTGATCGCCACAACACCCACCTATTTTTTGGTTTTAGTTGTCATTGTTTGGTGGGCCCGGGCTGGATTCGAACCCATCAGTCACATACACTGGTGCCCTATAGCCACTTGAGCTACAGGCACCAAGCCAATAGACTATATTATTAACAACAACAACAAAATAGTTATTCTCTTAGCTACAATAGCTGCAGAAATGCAGTTATTTAGAACTCAAAATAATCATTTATTTCTTTGCTTAATTTTAGGCCATTATGCCAATTCAAGAAAATTGTAGTCACTAACATGTGAAAGCACTTTAAAATATACTGCTTTATATATGTATTTGTGTGTGTGTGTAGCTTTAGAAACTATTTCACCCCTAGAATGCATCTATTACTTGTATTATAATGCCTTAAAATAGTGATACAATAGGATTATACCCTTATCCTTCAGACTTTCTAATGTGGAGGAGATTATGGGAGGAAACCCTGCTGTGGTTTTCCAACCTATTTAAAGATCTGTAACACTTAAATTGAACAAAATCATTATAGACATCCTTAATGTTTTTTCTTAGCAGTTTTACGCACAGTGAGGGTTTATATTGAAGCAGGAGCTGACCAGGAGAGGTTTTCTCATAGGATGAGGCTTCTTAAGTCCAGTCAGCTTGAAAATGCAGAACTTCTCCACATCCTGCTTTTCAAAACTGTCGTGATCTGTGAAGTAAATATAGTTTTAATGCCCAGAGGAGCATTGATCCTGTGCCCGGTGATACTCATTAGAAATGGAACGAGTGGCCTGATGTAGTGGCTCAGCCTGTACTTCTGGGAGGCCAAAGTGGGTAGATTGCTTGAGTTCAGAAGTTTGAGACCAGCCTGGGCAAGAGTGAGACCTTTTCTCTACTAAAAATAGAAAAATTAGCCCAGTATTGTGGCAGGCACCTGTAGTCCTAGCTACTTGGGAGGCTGAGGCAGAAGGATCACTTGAGCGCAGGAGTTTGAGGTTCCTGTGAGCTAAAATGATGCCACTGCACTCTATGCAGGGTGACAGAGCAAGACTCCATCTCCAGAAAAAAGAAACGGAACCAGCAATGGATGAAATGTGCTTATAATAGGTCAGAGCTTTGAAAATCAGTGTCACTTTGCCTTGAAGATGCCACAGAACCCTCTAAGACTAGACAACTTACCACTTTTGAAGAGGACACATTCTTACTACAATTGAGGTTTTTTGCTTCAGGATTACAGATAATGTTCAGACCACTAATTCTAATACTAATAGAAATAATATTAACCTAATTCTACTAATTGATATTTCTGTTGGTCTTTTTATTTGCTTTGCAGCTTTGATTAGTTTGTCCTTTGGAGGAGCAATCGGGCTGATGTTTTTGATGCTTGGATGTGCCCTGCCAATTTACAAGTACGTAAAAGTGTTGTCTTTTTGGGTGCTTAAAAAAGGTAAAAATTTTTCTGCTTTTAAGGTTTTGAAAACATTTTTTTTAGTACTATAAAACTACTGCAGAGAAATGTTCATTTACCAACGCAAGCCTTTTAAAAAAAATCATTACCATTAATGTACATAGTTACCATTCAATAAAAAAAAAAAATCATTACTTAAAATTTGTTTGGTAGGTGCAAAAAAGATTTTTGGCTATTGTTCTTTCACTACTGCTACATAGGTAATGGCAAAATAGCAACCTAGTAGCTCAGCCTCCTGCTCAACCTTGAACATGTCTTGGTGCAGTTTTCTTGGAGACCAGTGTGCTTCTAGATCTCAAAATGGATGTATTATTTGAACTGGCCGTTCTCCTTCTGACACTTTCTCATACAAATCCACTTGCACATGTTTGCTGAGATATACATAGTGGGAGACGGTGGATATTCATGACAGGCTTGTTTTTAATAACAAACAAAAAAACCTAGAAATGTCCTAAATGTCCATCAAAAGAAAAATGTTTAAATTATGGTACATCCATCAATGGAAATACTAGGCCGCCTTAAAAAGAATAAGGAAGAGCTGTAGGTAATGATATGCAAATATGTTCAGTATTTTTTTTTTTTTT